GGGGGGAGGGCGCCAGTTCATCGAGCCTTTGCGATCAATAGCATTCTACTTGAACGTTTCGTTGCATCTCAAGTCCAAATTTGATATTGTTTATCATTGTTATTATTATTATTGCATCAAATGACAATTATTTGGTCGATCAATTCATGTGTTCCTTTTCATCTCACGGTTTATCTATACAGATCTCATTTTTCAAACTGCTTGCGCTGTAACTACCGCAACGATGTGTTTTTTTACCGTTGTCCAGCGATTGTTTCCAGCGGTCCATCGAGCCAAACTTGATTTGTGCTTTCATATTGTTTGGATCTCGTGGATTATTGCTTGATGACTCGTTATCATCGCATTGCGAGGTAAGTCTTATTGTCTACCTTCTCACTTCTTCACTAGAAGAGTCTTCCAACTTGAACGTAGGTGCTTTGTTAAGTTGTGGTCTTTGGTTTCAGAGGTCTAAACTAGTTCCGATTTGCTGTTCTTATATTGTCTTTCATTTCGGGTAAACTCCTTGTTTTCACTGGTACTGCGAGGTAAGTCGTGTGGGGCCTAGGTGTCTTTTTTACACTTCTTTCGGTCAGTACTTTTTCAGCTATCTCTGATGGTCTTTTTTGAACTGAGGTTATCATACTGGTATTAATCTGTTCACTTCTTTATTTGATTCCTAGTTCTCATCTCTTTATTGCGAGGTAGGTCACTACTCTTTTTTTACCTCTTGGGATGAGTTTCACCAATTTTTTCTAGAGTTCCGTTGGATTGCCGACACTTTGTCCACTTTGAAGTTTGTCTTCATATCGCGAGGTAGGTCGTTCCTAACCACATCATCCTTTTTTGAGACTCATTGGTTCATTTTTTTCCCAGTACTTACTATTTTTTATTCTTTCATCTGGGTTCATTAGTTTATGCTAGATAATTAGCGTGCTCTTTCTTTCTTTTGGCTTTCAAATAAGGCTAGGTTTACATGCAGTGTTGTTGAATCGAGCTGTGAACTCGAAGTATTCAACACAATACTGGCCTTTGAGATTGTATGTTTCCTCAACATTGCCATAGTCAAACAAAATATTAGTTCATAACAGCAACATAATAGACATAAAACCCTCCAACCAAGAAATATTTGCTATAGCTAGATGGATCAATCTTATGAGGAAGACTGGGATCTGGACCCCTATGAAGAAGAAGACGTTGTAATCAAAGACGAGTTTGATGAAAGGCAGGTTCGCAAAATGTAGGTTGAAGGAATTCTTGTTGGTCTTCTCTAGCAACTGCCATCCTTTCCAGGGTCCCATTTGTTTCACAGAGGCAGAAACGGAATTAATTCTGGACCGTTACGTGGAAAGTTACGAAATATATCATCACACTATGACCGGCGGGTCAAGGGAAGGGGTCCCGGTAGGTGTCCTTTAAGGGAATACCTAAACTATAACTTGGGCTGCTTTTTTAGGCTAAAAAGCGCTTCATAGCGCGGCTTACTGAGGAGGTGAACGCGCTGGGAGTCGGTGTGCGCACAGAAAAACAGAATCGATCAGAAAATCAAGGATGAAATAAAACTGTAAAACGATATGGGAATGTCTAGGTAGGTGCAGAATCAATTAAGAACATTGATCTGTGAATAAGCACAGTATTGAAGATGACTGAGAGAAACAAGACAGGAGGTGGAAGGATGGGAAGACTCCCGCGACTAACGGCACCCCAAAAGCGTGCATTTGAGGCAATACGCCAGAAACCTAGGAATAGCCGGGATGAAGAAGGGCCTCGAGGTTGGTCAACGGACAGTTGCAGAGGTGGGAATTTTATTCCTTCCCATTTATGTTTAAAAACTTACCACTGAGTACTCGTAGTTCAGAGCAGTATCCGAACTCATCCACCAGCCTCGGAAAGTGCGCATTCTGAGCCTCCGCATGGAAGAAATATGCCGAAGGAAAACCAACCCCAAGCAAGGAGCCCCATACAAAGAAGAACTACTCAGAATGGAGCGAGATAATCTAACTTTGAAGAATGAGCTCCTTCGAAAAAAAATAGTGCTAGCAGATATTCAGATCGACTATTGGACCAAGAGGAATAATCATTGTCCTTCTTAGGTTGTATCTTTTATTGCTATTAGCTTACTGGAATCGTTGCTCTGGCTCCTGTTATTTGCTGTCTCGGATTTCGATGTTTAATGTTGTGATTGATGACTATATTCATTACTATTCTTGAGACCGTTTACGTTTGTATTCCTATTATTCCCATGTTAGTTGATTAAATGTTGTTGAAGTCTTTATAAGGATTCCTATGATGCGAAGAAGATCTGATAGTAATAAACTCTCACAATTACAGACTTAAGCTTACACTACACAACGTTCATTCACAAACAAATCTAAATGTTGTTAGTAAACGGCATAACCACCTTACAGATTTACATTCATCAGAAATACTTCCTGATTACTTCTTGCATAAAAGAGTATGCCAATCGATCAGGAGGTTCGTCTGTAGGTTCGGACGGAACCTCGCCATCCTGCCTGTCTTCGCCGAGGTAGTCGTCATAATCCGGCGGCTCCCTTGCGTTTATCGCTATGTTGCGAAGAACGCAACAAGCGACGAACTATCTGCGGCAGCCTTCTCGGGAGAGTATCTGCAATTGTAGGGATCAGATGGCTTTCAAAAAATACCATTTTCATTTCAATACAACTCCGACTTTCAATGGAAGAAAAGATAAAGTGTGCGGAGAGAAAAACTGTGCTCGAGAGGGGTAGGGTGATGTGTGTAAGCATGGGCTGAAGCTCAATGGGTTTTGGCTTGAAAAGTTGTGAATTCAAAATGAAAACGGCATGTGTGCATATGTATATAGGTATGTAAAATTCAATCTTTTTAACCTGCATTCCCCATGTAGTATGTGAAAACTGCCGCTTCAGCACTCCAAAGGCCTGCTCGACGCCGAAGTGCGCGCCGAGCTAATGCTTCTATATAGCGGCGCCTCTAAAAAGGACATTAAATCAAGGTTGGGACCGAAACTCCTTGGTAGTAACCTTGCCTCGTTCCGTGGGGTTGTTGACGTCGGGCTTGAGTAGGAATGTTTCTGACGCATACGCAGAGTCCCCCAATAGGACTCCCCTCAACTGCCTTCTCTGGAGCTGCCCATATATCGCGGAGGTCTTGAACACGCGCGAGTCATGGGCAGACCCAGGCCATCTTGAGCAGACCCATCTTATTTTCATCTCATGGTCTACGATTACTCCAAGCGTTCGGCTGTTGATAACCCTATCCTAGCAAAATAATCCTCCTCCGCCTCCGTCGGTCTTGAATTGCGGCAGTGATGCGCGTCGATGGACACCAAATACCGGCAGACGATATCGCCGGTAGGAAGCTCGCATATGTCAGCACTTCGTGCTCGTTAGGCCAATGGATGTACTGGGCTGCCTTCGCGTTCAAAGCCTTAACGAAACCCATTATGACTCTAGAGACGGTGGACTGGTGGCAGCCAGCAATCCTTGCTGAATCACTCTGCATAACATTCCGCCCGAGTAGGTGGATGGCAATAGCGACTTGGTCGGCACGATTGTCTATCTAACGCCTTCCCGGAGCAGCTCTATAGTCGGGACGATCGCAGATCACATATATTATAAAAAACATGTCGGAAAAAACGGTAATCCTTTCTGAATTCAACGTCACTCAAAGTGTCGTACGGGCACGTTCTGTCACGGAACGTCCTATGTACGGCAACTTCGGCGTATCGCTCAGCACGTTCCAAACTCTCAATGAGCTCCATTTCGCCTAAATATCAATTGAACAACTTCTTTTCCGCGTCGCGCAAGTCTGATATACATGTTTTTTGTGAGTACGCTAATGAAAAGTAATCGCCACCTTCGCTAAACTGATGCGGCTGAATGTACTATATCGCTGCACGCGGCTATACCTTTTCAACGCTTCTGTTCCACCGTACTATCTTGATAGCCGCGGATGGAGATGCTGGCGGTGAAAAGATGCACCCGCACAAAATAGTGTAGATTCAGCCGCATCAGTCCAGCGAAGGAGGCAACCACTGTTTCGGAACAGTGAATTAGCAACAGATTGATAATGAATGGGTTATCCAGTGCTTTGCTTAAATTACAGTTACACAAACTTTCTTTCTCGCTCACTCTAGTGAGAGTAAACCTCATGAATCTACATCCGTGCTGTAGTGCTAAACTGGAGCGCCCCAGTGAGAAGGGTTCAAGCGAGCGCGTGCGCAATTTTTTCCAAGAAGAACACCATGGCATGTTTTAGTTAGCATCCGCCGCGGACTCTCACAATCTATTTTATTAAGCTGTATAATATAAGGATTACTTTGCATTATTATTTGTACTATATAACATGTGTATATATTATTATAGTATATGATATACAATATATATTATTATGATTGGAAAGGAAACGTTCATGCTGTCTAAAAACCTATAAAAATCCTAAGAAGGAATAAATTATGATCATTTCTGCAGTTGCGAAAATGCGGTTGGACAATAGCATAGCACCGCCATTCTAAATAGTGTAAAAAGTGAAGAGATGAAAAGTGAATGGCTAGGAAGGTTGAAAGTGTCTCTGTAACATGCAGAAGTAAAGAAAAGTTGAAAACAAATGCGAAATAAGCTAAAAAACTGTTCCAGGGGATGTCTTCCCCTAACACTTGTTGTTGGGGGAGCTCTCCCCCTGATTTGGTAGGCGTGGCCTCTCCCCCAAAGCCTTCGGGGGAAGTGTAGCATACGGGGAGGGGGACCCCTCCCCTCGAGGGGGAGTATAGCATACGGCCCCA